TTGCCCTTAGCTGTATCTAGTCAATGGCCATTATGAAGACGTTATATAAATGTTCAAAAAGCCAAAAGGGGAAGTTAATACCCTAGAATGACAGAATCATGATTCAAAAAGTTATGAACAACTGTGGAATACATTAATGGAGACAGTATTTAAGAGTTAAAGATATATTTTATTTCAAACACATCATTTTGGGTATATGGAGAATGGGAGACCTCTTAGCTTTAGAAAGATATGGGTTTATGTAGGCTACTGTCAACAGTTTCCAGAAATTTTTTTCAAAAAACAAAATGAGAAACAACATAAGGCTGACAATTTTTTATTGCTTGTTTTAAAACACTAAAACAAAACAAAACCCAAGACAAATATCAAAAGAAACTTAACACCTACTATAATGCTATTACTTCATAAAGAAAGGTCATTTCAACATTAGAAAAGTACAAATACAGAATCTCCAAAAAATCCTTAAATTACCTAAATACAACATGAAAAGTCATATTCCCCCTCATTTTCTGCTTGTAGATGGCAAGAATATGATTGGTACTAAAGAGTTAAAATACTTTAACATCATAAAAACTTGAATTAAGGAAATGGATAATTTCACGACACTACATTGAGATATGTAACTGTAGAATTAAAAATAAAAACCCGATCAGAACAACAATAATCACAGCGAAAATACTGACTGAATCTAGCTGACAAAGATAAGAAGCCTAAAGGGATTATGAAATTGTAACTAGTAATTAGGTTATGAAATTGTAAGGGTTGCAACATTTAATTCAGAAAAAACTATCACAGAATACATTAAGTGAAACCTGTTACCCCTAAAGACAGAAGTGCAACCAAGGGGAAGAAGCTCTATAGTAATGCAGACCCTAGACTAATTTCAGTTCTATCAATACTTTTCATAAGTTATACGAGCCATCTGTTCCCACTTGTTCACAGAAGTGCTGTTCACAGAGAAGGAAGAGCCAATACAGTATTAGGGACATGAACAGTAAGTGGCACATTGTAAAAGATGACTTGTAAGGTCTCTTCCACTAATTTTAAAATTTTGTGAATCAGAAAAGAATAAATGTAGTCTTTTTAGCATACTGAAAAAGATGAGTAGAGAGATTTCAACTATAGTCAAAAACCAACTGTTCGTTCAGTTATGTGCTCTGCTACTTAGCAATGTAACATTAAAGGGAAATGATTTACTGTGCTTCAACTATTCTCAAGTTATATGTGTAGAAAATGAACTATTCAAAAGACTGTTGCATGAATGATACACACACAGTCTCTAATCTGCCTGTCACTAGTAGATGTTTAGCATATGGCAGGTATTGTTTATTCAATTAACACTATGTCCAAAAAGTAACCTTTTCTATATTATTCATTAATGATACACTTAATGAATGACTTGTTCTCTGCTGTGCCTCTTTCTTCTTTTTTTTTTTTTCAAACCAAGCAATGACTGCTTGGGATTCTTTACCACTTCCATGCTTTGTACAATTCCAATTATATATAATTTTTGCACTAAAATAAAATTTTACTGATTTACCACTGGTTTACATACTACAACATTTTCTTTAAGTTGCTTTTGTTGGTTTCTTCTACCTTTATTTATATAAAAGCAGACTTAACCTTTAGTACATATTGGCTGTACATTCAATTTGGCCAAAAAATAAAATATTTTTGAACATCATGTCAACTAAACAGAACTCTTTATACCCAAGTTTAATCAACTACTGCCAGACAGATGTTTTGTTATTCTCTTTTATTGACCTCACTGGCTAGCTCATTGCTGAGCACATTCAAGAAATATTTGAATAAATAAAATCCATTACACCAGAGTAGCTGATTTGCAATCTTGACTGTTAATGAAGGTTTATGAAATAGATGTCGTTTGAGATTTGTCCCTTTAATGGGAAATTCGTGTCTTACTGAAACAGACCAACAGTTAATGCTCTAGCCAATATCCTGGATCCACTAAACATTTTTCACATGGCATGTGACTGCTCTCCCTTTAGAGTTCCAGAATAATTTGCAGTTGTATTTTAGTTGGCAATTCAGTATCAAGTGTTACATATTATTAGAATAGCACACTGCTTAACAGCCCACTGTTCAGGAGAAGGAAAAAAAAAATCAGTAGGTTAAAAAAATCATTTTCCAGAAACAGAATTTTGTTGAGTAGGAAACACTGACAAGCTTAAACATTTAGAATATTCAGTGCAAGGTGAAATAGTACCTGATAACCATCAAATGCAACAATTATTTGTCAGGGATAAACTGGTACTTGAAAGAGATGAATCACTTAGCACATAATTTTTAAAAGTGCCTTGCTATCTGCGATAACATTCAGAATGAATGAGAACTTTCTAGTATAAATTTCACTACACCAGCGTTGAGACAGAGAACAGATGGTTATTTCCATCAAAGTACAAAGTAATTTTAGAGCACCATGAAATCAAAGTACATTGAACATTTGATTTAATACAACTCCATGTGAATTCAATTACAAATTATATCTAAGCTGGAATTTAAGAGAAATATTAATTACACACACATATTAAAAGTCACTAACACACCAGGAGCGCTGCAGGACAGTCCTCACTTCTACTTGTTTCTGCCTTTCATTAGTAGTTTGGCTTGGGCAGACAAGTCAGTTAACTTTCCAAGTCTGAAAGTCCTCTATCTCTACCGAGTGAGGGATTCTTCAGTTCTAAAACTCCAAAATTTTACAAGATCAACAAAGTTGTGGGTTTTACAAAGGCCTGGGTTTTACTTTCTAAAGAAATAGTGGCAGAAAAACATACAATGTGTAACCTGTAACATTTGGAAAGCTGAACTCGCAACCTGTGAAGCACACCCCTGGGGTCGCGCCAGCGAGGCCCAAGCGCCCGCCCGCAGAGCGCCTCTGGCCCACTCC